GTGTGGTTAGTGAAAGCTACATAAGGATCGTATTTGACTAAGAGGTGCAAAACCACGGCTGCTTCCCATGGTTAGGGTAAGTTGTTACTGATTTTGGATATACACTGTATGGGTGTCTTCATTGTGACTTGTCATTGTGCAGGGAAAACATCATCTTTCTTTTATTTCTCTCTCTTTTCTTTCATCTCTATTTTCTAGTGAATGAAAAGATAGAAGACATCAATGGCTACCCTAAGAGCCGGACTCAGATGGTGAGTGTTTGTGCTGTGTTTACTCTGTAACATAAGGGGACCAATCCTCCACACCCTAAAACAGAGATAACCAGGGAGGCTTACACTATTAAGGACATCATAGTATGGATCATGAGTTATCACTATTGTGCAAACACAACCGGATGATCTTTCCCAAATCTGAAATCCTGATGCTCAGAGAAAAACCCTGGTGGCATCTGCTTCTTTCTCCACTGTTTCCTGTGAGAGAATGGCCATGACTTTTTTAGTGATGCCCTACTAACACAGTGGGGAGGCATTAAATAGACTGGTATCCCATTGAGGGCCATCTGCCACTTAAACAACCGCTCTCGCCTATTGGGGATTGAACCAATCTTGCCTGTGCCCACATACCTATCCATGATGGATCCATGGGTTAAACATCTACTCAACCTCGTTATTGTTGAAATCTCACTGGACATACTAGCCTCTATTTGGGTTGTATGATAATCCAAACTAACTACACTGAACAAAAATATAAACGCAACATGCAACAATTTCATCTTTTTTTTTTTTTTTTTTTTTAACAGATTTACAGGTCCTATAAGGAAATCAGTTAATTGAAATAAAATCATTAGGCCCTAATCTATGGATTTCACATGACTGGGAATACAGATACCTTAAAAAAAAAAAGTAGGGGCGTGGATCAGAAAACCAGTCAGTATCTGGTGTGACCACCATTTGCCTCATGCAGCGCGACACATCTCCTTCACGTAGAGTTGATCAAGCTGTGGCCTGTGGAATGTTGTATGTTGTCCCACTCCTCTTCAATGGCTGTGCGAAGTTGCTGGATATTGGCGGGAACTGGAACACGTTGTCGTACACGTCGATCCAGAGCATCCCAAACATGCTCAATGGGTGACATGTCTGGTGAGTATGCAGGCCAAGGAAGAACTGGGATATTGTCAGCTTCCAGGAATTGTGTACAGATCCTTGCGACATGGTTCCGTGCATTATCATGCTGAAACATGAGGTGATGGCGGCAGATGAATGCCACGACAATGGGCCTCAGGATCTCTGTGCATTCAAATTGCCATCGATAAAATGCAATTGTGTTCGTTGTCCGTAGCTTATGGCTGCCCATACCATAACCCCACCGCCACCATGGGGCACTCTGTTCACAACGTTGACATCAGCAAACCGCTCGCCCACACGACGTCATACACGCTGTCTGCCATCTGCCCGGTACAGTTGAAACCGGGATTAATCTATGAAGAGCACACTTCTCCAGCGTGTCAGTGGCCATCAAAGCTGAGCATTTGCCCACTGAAGTCGGTTACGACGCCGAATTGCAGTCAGGTCAAGACCCTGGTGAGGATGACTAGCACGCAGATGAGCTTCCCTGAGATGGTTTCTGACAGTTTGTGCAGAAATTCTTCGGTTGTGCAAACCCAAGGTTTCATCAACTGTCCGGGTGGCTAGTCTTAGACGATCCTGCAGGTGAAGAAGCCGGATCTGGAGATCCTGGGCAGGTGCGGTTGTGAGGCTGGTTGGACGTACTGCCAAATTCTCTAAAACAACGTTGGATGCGGCTTATGGTAGAGAAATGAACAACAGCTCTGGTGGACATTCCTGCAGTAGGCATGCTAATTGCACACTCCCTCAAAATTTGAGACATCTTTGACATTGTGTTGTGTGACAAATCTGCACATTTTAGAGTGGCCTTTTATTGTCCCCAGCACAAGGTGCACCTGTGTAATGATCATGCTGTTTAATCAGATTCTTGATATGCCACAGCTGTCAGGTGGATGGATTATTTTGGCAAAGGAGAAATGCTCACTTACAGCGATGTAAACAATTTTGTGCACAAAATTTGAGAGAAATAAGCTTTTTGTGCGTATGGAAAAAGTCTGGGATGTTTTATTTCAGCTCATGAAACATGGGACCAACACTTTACATGTTGCGTTTATATTTCTGTTCAGTATAGTTTAATATTATTAAATATATCTCTCTTGCTTACAGTTGTGCAGCTCATTCTCTTTCTCTGACCCTCTTTCACTCCTACACGCTTTCCTTCACTTGGACTACCTCCCTCAGTCTAATATATCTAGCTCTCCTCTCACTCTAGCTGACTCACCCTGCCTCTCCCACCAGCTCCCTCCCACCCACATTTAACGACAGACCCCGTATTTATACAACTGTTTTTCTCTTGTGGTGGGCCAGAAATTGGGAAAATATGGTTGTTACTGAAATGATGAGTAGCTCTATGAATTGAAGTCTTTCAGTAAGCTGTGCTACCTCAAGCTGAACTTCCTGGATTTTAGGGTAATGGGTGGGAAATAGTTTCGATTTAATCTGAAACACGTTGCTTTAGTTGTTGGGAAACTTTCCTGCTGTTGGGTGTTCATGAATTGCATGTAACGATCTGTGGGAAGGTCTGAATGAAGAGAGGTTAGTGATTGAATAATGGCGTATATGCTAGTCTAGTTCTACTCTTATACTACTATATGTTTGAACCATCTGAAGGATGGTTTCAGTTTGTGCATTGTACAGTATTGTTTCAGCTTTCATCATTAGTGGTTGGTTATAATCCAAGGAGGGCCATATGGTTCTTGATTTGACTGAGATTTTTCCTAAATCTCTGGGTACATTAAGCCTAATGTTATATTACCATTGTATGGTGACACCATATGGCCTTTGCTAATGAATGACTGCCCTATCTGAATTGATGAAGTACCATACCCTGACTCCTCTCTCTTCTCCCCCAGATTGAGAACATCGATACCTGCCTTGGATTCCTGGCAGCCAGAGGGGTGAACATCCAGGGGCTCTGTGCAGACAGTATGTCAAACTGCCACTATCTAGCAGACACTCTCCCTCATATATACTGCTAATCTAGAGCATCTAATGAATAACTCCACGTTACAACGGTCTGTGGAGAGGAAAAGATACAAAAAGATACCAACCTCTCTGTCTCTCCTCCTATTGCAGAGATCCGTAATGGGAACCTGAAAACGATTCTGGGTCTGTTCTTCAGCTTGTCCCGCTACAAGCAGCAGCAGCAGCAGCAGAAGCTGTTGAAGCAGCAGGCCTCTCATCAGCCAGAGCACAGCACCCAGCCTGGACATACTCCCCATAGGTCACCAGCCCCCTCTCACACCCACACCCATCATACCCACAGCTCCACTGCACCAGAACACAAAGCAGCATCAGATATGCTGTCCAGGTGAAGTAAATTGTAACAACCCAACCTCCCGTTTCAACACATGGCAAGATCTCCATGGTTTGGAGAAGCTCTGTGAGATTATTTACGAGTAACCGCAGTCCTCATAAAATGTGACATTAATTCCTCATGTTTAAATGATAGTGTTGTTTATATCATCCATACTAATTGTGTGAAGTCTCTTCTCCAGTGGTGTCCATGCCATTGGGTAGCAGGCCATCTTCTTTGAATCAACTTTCTTTTACATAACTTCAAGTTTCTATGATCCTCTAGATCTCATTTAAGCTGCTTTCAGATCTCTCTCTGCTTTTACATTCTGTCTACCCATCCCTCTCTTTATCCTCCATGCAGTCTATCATCCAAGGCTTCTACCACTCAGAGTAAAGGGCTAAAGCTCTCTGTGGCACAGAGAAAGGCTTCTAGGTCAGCTCTCATCTCTCTCTCGCTCTCTCTCTCTCTCTTCCCTCTCTCTCTCGCTCTCGCTCTCACTTTCACTTCTCTCTCTCCCATACACACTGCATGCTGCAATCCACTCACACTGTAGGTCAGGGCTCCCCAACCCTGTTCCTGGGGAGGTATCTTCCTGTAGGTTTTCGCTCCAACCCCAGTTGTAACTAATCCGATTCAGCTTATCAACCAGCTAATTATTAAAATCAGGTGCACTAGATTAGGGTTGGAGCGAAATCCTACAGGACGGTAGCTCTCCAGGAACAGGGTTGGAGAGCCCTGCTGTAGATGCACCAAGTCTAGTGTTTGAAAAGCTTCCCCATTCTCCTACCTAATTTCAGATAGTCTTGTAGTGTGTTAGACCTTTTTTTATGTATAAACACTTGCATCCGGGTGTGTTTGCTGTGTGCATCGTTTAGTAGTATGGAAGTGCTTCTCAACCTGTCTGTTTCACCTTATGTGAGTGTGTGAGTATGTACAGTACCTTTTGATTGATTACAAAAAGCACAGCATAAGGTAATAGCACCACCTACTTGAATAACTGTGCAACCACATGCATCTCCTCTGAGGTGTTTTTCCATAGATCTTACATCACCATTTTAGTCATTTAGCAGACGCTCTTATCCAGAGTGACTTACAGTAGTGAGTGCATACATGTTCCATACTCATCCCCCGTGGGAATCAAACCCACAACCCTGGCATTGCAAGCACCATCCTCTACCAACTGAGCTACATGGGATCACCCTTCCAGTCAAGTACTCACAAATCTGTTAATGATACACTCCTTAATAATGTTATTAAGACTGATTTGAGGAATATTATTTCATCCCCTTTAGCAGATGATTAGTTATGTTTAGAATTATGTAATGTTAAGAAGAGTATTTCTGCTGTTGAGTGTTTATTAAACCAGTCACTATTTCCCTGTGGCCCACAGACTGCCAGGCCCCACCACGCGGGTCTCGGCCCCAGGCAGCGAGGGGAAGCATCGCGGGGCCTCCAACGGCAACCGCCGCAGCCAGAGCTTCAACCACCATGACGTGCCCAAGCCCTCCAGCAGTGACAGAGGTGAGTTACAGTACATGCGGAAGTTGTCCTGTGCTTTTAGAGGCAAACCACTTGGGGTACGCCCATTTTATAAATCAATTTATGGTCGTCCAGTGCAACAACAAAGAAAAAGATGAAAACAAATCTCCTGGATTCAGAGCAATCTTGTCTAGACGGTTATCATAGAACGCACACATAGACACATAGACAGATAACCTATGCATACATGGTTTCTATCTTATCATTTTCTATGCTGTTAGAGGAGCAGGTAATGATTTAACAACATGGGTGCCGCTAAGATGAACTTGTTGTTGTATTAGAGGCTAGTCTGTGGTTTATTTACATTAGGTAAAATGTTACACAAAATCTGAATGATGTCATTGTACATTAGGTCTTAGGTTTATGTGTAAGTGTATGCTTTACAGACAACCTTTAATCCATGGACATTTCTGTTTGTGAAGTAAACAACTATTTCCGCACTCCACTACCTATCAATTCATCTGGCTTGCTAAATACCTCTTATTTTCATGACATCCGTTTTGTGAGTATTGCAAAGTGCTACATTTGGCATAACAAATGTGTTACTTCCTCTCCTTTCTAGAGCCTATATTTACTATGTATTCCTGCCTGTGTGTTTGATTATAGTGTGGTAGACATCATGTCACACCGTGGCTTTACAATCATAGTGGTGTAACTAAATCTGTCTGAAAAGATGGCCTTTTTTGATTTAAGATTATATATATTATAATTTATCCTCACTGTAAATCTTAGTCCTAGATTGGTAGATTGAGTCCTCAGTGGTATGAAGCCAGTCAGGCAGTATTTCCCCAGTACTGTGATGTATGTTAGTGAGAGCAGAGTGGAGCAGAGCAGAACAGAACCGAGCAGAACAGAACAGAACAGAGCCGAGAAGAGCAGAGCAGAGCAGAACAGAACAGTGCAGAACAGAGTCGAGCAGAACAGAACAGAGCCGAACAGAGAAGAGCAGAGCAGAGCAGACAAGAGCAGAGCAGAGAAGAGCAGAGAAGAGCACTGTGACAGTAGGGGTTAACTCCCTGGCTGGGGGTATGCCTTGATATCCCAGTCTACAGTCTACAGTCTACAGTCTACAGTCTATAGTCTACAGCCTACAGTACAGTCTACAGTCTACAGCCTACTGTACAGTCTACAGCCTACAGTACAGTCTACAGTACAGTCTACAGTACAGTCTACAGTCTACATTACAGTCTACAGTACAGTCTACAGCCTACAGTACAGTCTACAGTACAGTCTACAGCCTACAGTACAGTCTACAGTCTATAGTCTACAGTCTACAGTACAGTCTACAGCCTACAGTACAGTCTACAGTACAGTCTACAGTCTACAGCCTACTGTACAGTCTACAGTCTACAGTCTACATTATACAGTACAGTCTACAGTCTACAGTCTACAGCCTACTGTACAGTCTACAGTCTACAGCCTACAGTACAGTCTACAGTCTACAGCCTACTGTACAGTCTACAGTCTACAGCCTACAGTACAGTCTACAGTCTACAGCCTACTGTACAGTCTACAGTCTACAGCCTACAGTACAGTCTACAGTCTACAGCCTACTGTACAGTCTACAGCCTACAGTACAGTCTACAGTCTACAGCCTACTGTACAGTCTACAGTCTACAGTCTACAGCCTACTGTACAGTCTACAGTCTACAGTACAGTCTACAGTCTACAGTCTACAGTCTACAGTCTACAGTCTACAGTCAGCCTGTGGTAGGCTTCTACTGCTGTGTGATGAGGAATTCACTGTGCATTGACTGAGCCCTGTACTTGTGGTACAGAGAGGGCGGGATAGATGGAACAACAGAGAGAGAAGTATGGGGAGATAGAGAGAGAGAGAGAGAGAGAGAGAGAGAGGGAGAAAGAGAGGAGGGCGATGGAATGAGAGACAAACAGAGAGGAAAGGCTAGAGGGAGAAAGATAGACAGTGAGGGAGAGAGTGGTACAGGGAGTCTCATTAGAGTGAGAATTTTAAATGTTTAGTGTTCACTTCTTATTGAGAAATCAAGCATGACTGGAACTATACATGGACCACTGTCATTCCTGACCTGTCAATCAAAGATCATCTGGGAGGGTGAGTGTCTCTGAGCGACTATCCCATGGTGGTTGCCCAGCAGTGATGTCATTGGCATTGCCATGCCAGGCACCAGTTCTGTTGTAGTGGCAGGGGGGCAATGCATAGATTTTTCATGTTGCCAAATTCAGACTGGGGGGATTTAGGGATTGTGCTAGTGAAAAGTAAAAGCTAGAGCTTGTAGCTTGTTTATGTGTCTGTCTATCCTTATGCTCTACAAAGATTGTATTGGATGGTATTGTATTGTATTGTATTGTATTCCGTAGGAGACTGAAGTAAAGTAAAGTTACTGTGAAGTAAAGTTATTGTGGTTCCTCTCTGCTAGACCAGGACTGGATGATCAGCCCAGCTGGTGTTCTATTTGTGTCTATTCTTGTCGAGGAACTTTCACTTTTTACCAGTGACTAAAGAACCAGAGCAGAGTGTCCAACTCACTTAAACATGCACAATGGAGATGTATTTCCTAAGGCAGTGAATGGAGACATGATGACTACAATGAATTCACCATATTCTGTATACAAAATGATGGAAGCTGATTTCAATTCTGTCATACTAAATGAAGCGAAAGGTGGGAAATGCACAGTTATACGCAGTTGGAAGAAAAAAATCGGTAACACTTTGACACCTAGCGTCATAACAAGTTATGACACGGTAATAACCATGTCATAATATGTCATAACAGCTGGCATAACATGCCATAACCTGTCATAATATGATCATAACACTGTCATGACACATATATTTAAACCTGTTGTGACATATAATGCGTTATTTTATGGCTGGTTATGACACCAACATAAGGCCAAAACCCACCAAATCTACCACACAAGGCAAACCACTCCATTACACCATAGCATACTTGTAAACCGTATGTTTATGTTATATACAATTTTCTGAAATTGACCATATTACATTATCATTGTAATTGCACACACATTGATGTCAGACATGTACCTACCCCAATACTATGTTGCTGATGACTGGGATCAATGCAGGAGCAGATTTCAGAAGCAGATCAAGACACCCTCTTTTTGACTGATGAATGACATAAGGGCATGTACGTGATAGGCCTATCTGGCTTATATGATTATGATGGTCATAACGCTTCTTGACTGTGTCATAAAGTGTATTTTCTTAGTCCAAGTAAAGTGACACAGGATGGTCATAATGCTTAATGACAGTGTCATAAAGTGTATTTTCCTATTCCAAGTAAAGTGACACAGGATGGTCATAATGCTTCTTGACAGTGTCATCAACTGTATCTTCTTATTCCAAGTAAAGTGGTACAGGATGGTCATAATGCTTCATGACAGTGTCATAAAGTGTATTTTCTACAAGTTATCCAAAATATGATGCTAAAAAAACCCATAGCTGTAAATAATTAATTACAAAAACAGCAAAGGATTTAACTCTAAATCATATTATTTATTCAAATGTTTTTTTCTCTGCCAAGAAGTTTCCTTTTATTTGAAAGATTGTTTCTGCATCCTCCCTCAAAGTCTTCACCTCCACCGCTGGATGCAGCAGATGTATTACCTTCCCAGAAAAATATAGCTAAGTAAAGAACATACATCAAAATAGAGTATGCTACAAAGCAGTGACACTGCTAAAGAAAACTGAAGACTAAAACTTCATACCAAATATATTATGGCAATAGCACATTCACACATTCTCTGGCACAGCCAGAAAAGGACTGGCCACCCCTCTCTAGGTCTCTTCCTAGGTTCCTGCCTTTCTAGGGAGTTTTTCCTAGCCACTGTGCTCCTGCATCTGCATTGCTTGTTCTTTGGGGTTTTAGGCTGGGTTTCTGTATAGCACTTTGTGACATCTGCACATTTGATTGATTGATTGATTAATTAATTCTCAAATACTGTAAAATAGTGGAGCGGGCCGAGAGCTTCAAGTTCCTTGGTGTCCACATCACCAACAAACTATCATGGTCCAAACACACCAAGACAGTTGTGAAGAGGGCACGACAAAGCCTATTCCCCCTCAGGAGACTGAAAAGATTTTACATAGGTCCCCAGATCCTCAAAAAGTTCTACAGCTGCACCATCGAGACCATCCTGACCAGTTGCATCACCGCCTGGTATGGTAACTGCTCGGCATCCGACCTTAAGGCACTACAGAGGGTAGTGCGTACAGCCCAGTACATCACTGGGGCCAAGCTTTCTGCCATCCAGGACCTCTATACTAGGCGGTGTCAGAGGAAGGCCCAAAGAAATATGACTCCAGCCACCGAAGTCATAGACTGTTCTCTCTGTTACCGCATGGCAAGCGGTACCGGAGCACCAAGTCTAGGTCCAAAAGGCTCCTTAACAGCTTCTACTCCCAAGCTGAACAATTAATCAAATGGCTACCTTGACTATTTGCATTGTTTTTACACTGCTGCTACTCGCTGTTCATTATCTATGCATAGTCACTTTACCCCTACCTACATGTACATATTACCTCAATTACCTCAACTAACCTGTACCCCCGCACGGTACCGGTACCCCCTGTATATAGCCTCGTTATTGTTATTTTATTGTGCTACTTTTTTACTTTAGTTTATTTAGTAAATATTTATTTTCTTAAAACTGCATTGTTGGTTAAGGTAAGTAAGCATTTCACGGTAAGGTCTACACCTGTTGTATTCGGCACATATGGTAAATACAATTTGATTTGATTTGATTCACAATCCCATTTTCTCAATGTTTTCATAACATAGCTAAAGCTAGCTCTCAACTAACAGTTAGCTACCATCTAGTTAGTGTTTGTTTTGCTACAGATGGTGTTGTACAAAACAACTAAATACACCCATGTGTTGTTGCGGCAACAACAGTACATCTGATTCACTTTACAGTATATACTGTATACAGTGCTAATTATACAAACAAATTATAGAAAAGGCCTGTGTATTGAATGTAACAAAAACTCTTAACAACTACTAGCTACCTATGGTAGGCTAGCTAGCGCTGAGTTAGC